AACTTTATTTTGTGATTTAGAAATAATGTCTATTGACCTCGGTTGCGAAAGTTTGTGACTTTTAAAATATGGGTCCCCAGAAAAAAGTTTGAGAAACACTGCTGTAAACTGTATAAAGAAGTGGACAAACTGAGTGTGACGTCACCCGTAGTGTTCAACTCCAGTCAAATGAAGCTCATGAGGAAAGCGGTTATAGGAACCAGTTTATTCGTATTAGAGAGAATTTATTTACAGACAAAAGAGTGAAATAAAAACACCATATAGAGCGGATTAATATGAACATTTTAAGATCAAAATGATGAGAAGCTCTGCAGCATCCACCTGTCAATCACACCTAACGGAAATCAGGTCGACAGGTCAACATATGGTTCCAGGTCCACTCATCTTTATCAAATTAGTCAGAGTTTGTGGTTTTGGCTTGCCAGTTTAGTCCTGATGTAGACTAAACTGGCATAGTTTCGGTACAGGTTTTGTGAGGTGTAAGTGTTCAAAATCTGAACCTCCACATCCTCTGCATTTGACCCATCCTCCGATCACTCATCAACTAACACCATTATAGATTGACTGACACTGCTCTGTCAGAAGCTCTGTTAGGCTTTAATCTGATCAGAAAGAGCTGACTCTGCTTGAACAGGTGAGATGATTTGTGCTGTTAAAAAAGTCTCTCAAATAATATTAGTTCATCATTCTCACCTTTTGTTGAAACTCGAACTCAACTCAACTCAACTACAATTAATGTTCAATAATGATCAAATCCACCTTTATTTTGTAATTTACGAATAATGTCTATTAACCTCAGTTGCAAAGGTTTGTGACTTTTAAAATATGGGTTCCCGGACAAAAAGTTTGGGAAACACTGCTATGAACTGTATAAAGAAGTGGACTAACTGAGTGTGACGTCCAGTCAAATGAAGCTCATGAGGCAGCGGTTATAGGAGCCAATTTATTTGTATTATTTACAGACAAATGACTGAAATAAAAGCAGAGTGGGTTAAGACTAAAATGATAAGGCTCACTATAGCAGTTACAGAGAGAGGGGTGACAATTTTTCAGTGTAAAGTCGATTAGATCCAGAGTCGATGGAGCCAAAAGCACGGTAATATTAGTTCATCATTCTCACCTTTTTGTTGAAACTCAAACTCCTAAACAGGACCATGTATTATATATAACTTTATTTACAGACTCAGGGTCCAAACTGTACACAGAAGTTCACACACCCACAACTACTTTCATATATAAACCACCAACACATAAAAAAAAAAAAAAAAAACCCACAGTGACGTAAGGTCTGGTAGATAGTATACAGTATATGTATCTGGCTCGTCCAATATTTCCAGATGACAGAGTAATACTGGGTGTCACTTTCCTTAATATCAGTCAAGCACGTTATAATTCCATTTCTTGATTCATTTAACCTACACATAAATTTATACATGAGGTTCTTCATTAGAGCCTGGAACGTGGGAATATTTGCGGTCACAAACAAAGCACTAGCACTTTCACCTTGGAGTCTTTAGCAGTATTCTGAGAGCATCATTATATGCCACTTTAAGCCGTGCGTACACTGTGCGATTTTTGACCCTTTTTGAGTCGATTTTTTTACTCGTGTGACTATTTTGGGGATCGGGCCAAGTTTTGGCTTCATCGTGGTTTGTGCTTCGTGTAGTAAACACAGGGGTAAAGAGAACCGATTTATACCTCACGACCAGCTCCCGATCGGTATTCGTAGGTCGCAAGAATATCAATCCAGTCACCTCTCGTGAGAGTTTCGCTCTGTTGAAGTACTTCCACGAGCTGATTTGCCAGAATCTGTCAGACTGAGCATGTGTGGACACAGAGGTGGAAGCAGGATATGAGGTTGTGGAGGACGGTGGTGGGCCAGTGACTGTTTTGGACCCAGGACATGATGGAGGCGCAGCTAATCGAGCAACACAGAACAGAAGTTTGGTGAAAAACTTGATGCTACTTACCACTAGTTCCCTCTGAAGAACTGACAACCTGTACTGCCCATGTCTACGCAGCCATTTCTTTGACCAGATTCGTCGCCTCTTCTTTTTGGGCTTGTCTGTGCAGAGAATGGCACAAATTGCCAAGGCAGTGCGTCTGTTTTTTGCCTGGATCAGCATTGTGTCTCCGCACATCTGTGGTTTTCTAATTCCATGGTTTTCTTCTTTGTGGTTTTCTAGCACTGGTTCATACAGTGTGAGAACATGATTTGTGAGCTGTGAACTTTTAAACCCTGCGATTTGGTCGTACAGTTTAAGGGACTGTGTGACGCGACCGAAAATATGGCACAGTGTACGCCCAGCATTAATTTTATTCATCATTGATCACATGCTCCTGAAAATGTGTTCTTTTCAATTTTTTCTTGAGTTTTCAGACAATCTTAAAACTTATTTGACAGTGTTTGCTAATGTTTACATTATGTCACCATGGCAACTGCTGAACATTCTGCCATAGGGGTATATGAGATACACATAGAACACCCCCAGAGTGATGTCACTGCAAGTATTAATAGTCAAGGCATGTTTATTTGTATTATACAGAATAATAAAATCACAATACAAAAAATAAAGGCATATAGACTGAACTGTATTTGAAACCAATTTAAACCAAATTAGATTATTTTTGTGTATCCACGGTGTTTGTTGTTGTGTCGCTGTCTCCTCTAAACGCCCTCGCGCTGCTCTGGAGGACGGAGAATAAATGAGAGAAAGAGTCAAATAAACAAATGTGTGTATGAATATTCAGCTGCGCTCACACAGAGGAGACACAGGGACTCGGGAACATGGACCGAGCTCAGACAAGCTGCTCCACATCTGCTGCTCTGAGACATGCACACACCTTCACGTGGGCTTCAGACTCAGGAAGCATTAGGACCGTTGCCATAGCGATTAACAATTTAAAGCACAATATTAAGTCATTTGAATGTGGAAAAATGCCCCTAATGTTGCACATAACAGAAAAATGAACCCCACAAACAAACACATCACTGGGATTTAGGGCTCGGCATATCACATTGTTTTGTCTTACTGAAAAAAAAATTATATATATAAAAATTCTATCCAGGTGTTGGAAGGTGCATGGACAGATCTGGTTAATATTAGACTCAAATATTGTGAATGTGATGTAACTGACCCCAGGAAGAACTGTCACATACGCTGCACCTGCTAATGGAGATCAAAAGCAGTTCACAATATCAGGCGCTATAGTTGGGCGCAAGTTGCAAACACCGTTGTTGTATCCTTAGGCAAGGCACGTCACTCACACTGTCTAGTACAGGTGTGTCCTAACCTTTTTTTACAGAGGGCCTCATATTGAAACATATTTGAAGCAGCGGAGCACAGAGCGGCGGTCAGTGGGTCTGTCACATGAGTGCATTTTACACCACTACAGTCTTGAAACATTAAAGTTACGTCTGTGTCACACTCTGTCACACTCTGTCACACTCTGTCACACTGCCCTGATGTGACTGAAGCAGAATGACTCACGTTTGCTGTTAAACCTGAAGCCTGGGATCAGTTGGGCCATTTGGATTGAGGGGCAATAACAATAGTTTGTATGTCCTGCTTTAGTGTGAATGTGTTAGAGTTGTGAGATTATGGTGCAGACTGGCAGCCTCACTTCTGTCCGTCTGCTCCAGGGCAGCTGTGGCAACAATAGTAGTTTAGTTTGGAGTGAGTGAAGTTGAAAAGCAACTTTGAGCTTCTGTGAAATAACTAAATCAGGCTTATTCTTTACAATGAAGAGAAAAAAAGGATTTTTGATAGAGAAATGTCAATCATGCCCCTTTTCACTTCATTTACCACTCAAGTTAATTCCACTAAAATCTTTCTAAATATTGTTAAAAAGGTGCACAAGAAATAACTTTCTGAGCATCATCGAAAATAAACAAATCAAATCTGAGAAACAGTGAAATGCAAACAGCTGTAGTCTAAAATGTAGAAAGCGTTGCTCTCTCATTCATTTAAAGTCTTTGTATGTGCATGTGGCATTGGCGCGCACAGGTCGTTCAGTGCTGTTCTGTGGCTAAAATCCATTCAGATTAGATCTTTTAAAAAATCTACTCAAATACCTGTCCTTTCTAAATTTGTCTAAAATGTGGTCTAATGTCGATTATTATTTATTTTATTTGTCATAATAATCTCTGATCTATTTTCCGGTTTTGGTGGCTCTTTTAATAAAACAGCAATATTCAAATGTAGACACATATTTTTGTTTACTGACTTTCTGTTGCTATAATTATGTAAAACTGTATACTGTGTGTACAATCAAAATAATCTGTAAAAATTGTACTGATCCTGTATTTTTAAAAGAGAAGTCGGTTATATTTGATGAGTGTTTCTAATGTGGCCTGCCTCTCTCATGTGTGACTTTGGTCCAGTTAAAATAAACATGAACCCAGAAAAAACCCAGCTCTGTGTTTTTGTTTGTGCCAAAGGTTTACACTATTTACACTCCAAAACTCACCTGTGTTAGAATATAATATGATAAAGTGAAATCAATTTGGTGATATTTGGCCAACTGTAAAATGTAAATGTCTTGAGTAAAAGTACGAAACAATGAATGTTTCTCTTCAGCAGCAATTAAAAAACATGAACTGGGTTATTATTACAAAATCACACAGACTTATTTTAGGCCTAAATATAAATAAACGATGTGGTTATTTATGGCAAAAACACAACACAGTAAATGTGACTTTAGTTAATAATTTTTATTTCACATTTCAGTCCCAACATGAGAATCAGAAATCAGTCCAAAATAAGTAAATAAATATATTTAAATGTATTTACATTAAAGTCCATCAGAGACGGAGGGTGATGGAGCAGGTGCGCGTGAGGCGGGCTCGTGACTCTAATATAGAATATCTCTAGAACACTCTTCTAATATGTACACTTGTATGTGCGCGGGCCTCCAGCGGCGCACTCTCCACAGTTTCCACAGTTTTAAATAAAATCCGGGCCAAGGGCCGAGCAGAGTCCGTCAGTGCGTGCGCGCGGTCACTTGGTGTCCGCGAGCCGCGGCACGCTCACGCTGCCCATGGAGGACACGTGCGGCGGCGGGACCTGGCACATGCTGCACGGGCACGGCATGCCGCTCACGCCCCAGTGCTGGAAGCTGCTCGCGGGAGGCGCTTTGAGGAGTCCGTGCGGAGGTCTGACCGAGGACACGGACAGAGGAGCCGACAGAGACGCGCTGGACACTGGCGGGAGCAGCGGGTGATGCACCGCGGGGTGAGTGGAGGCAGGGTGCGTGGGCACGGGGCCCGCGTGTGTCATGGTGCCGCACGCGGACGGGTGGAAGGCGCCGTGGTGCCCGCTGCTGCCGTAGATCTCGCTCACGAGGCGCTTCATCTCCTCCAGAGAGTTGCTGAGCATCAGGATGTAGTTCCGCGCCAGCAGCAGCGTGGCGATCTTGGACAGTTTACGCACGGAGGGCCCGTGCGCGTACGGCATGACCTCGCGCAGCCCGTCCATGGCCACGTTCAGGTCGTGCATCCTCTTGCGCTCGCGGCTGTTGATCTTGAGGCGGATGGACTGCAGCTCGTTCTCCGACAGAAGTTTGCGGTCTTTTTTAGACATGCGCAAAGCCAGTGCGTCCTCCTCTGCCGCGGAAAGGCCGCGCAGTCCCACCTCCGGAGAGTCGCTCTGAGTGGACGACACGGTCCCGGAGAAACCGTGCATGGACTTCTTTAACGTGGACATGAAGATGTCGTCCACCTCCGGAGAGGAAGGTCTGCTGGACACCCGGCTCGTGTCGGACTCCATGGCAACCTGCTGTAGCACAAGTACACGGGGTAAGGGCCACGGGACTCAAGTAAACAGGCCTAGAAGTGTACAAGGTCTGATCTAATCTAAACACAAGTCAAAGTGTATTCAAAGAGCGGATCAGGAGCGGCCCGGAGGCCCGGGACAGAGAGAGGACTCACCGGGAGAGTTGTGTGGCTGCAGAGAAAAGCAAAGGGCAAATCCACCTGTTACTCCAAAGCGCGTGTGACAGCTGTTTGGCACGCCTCGTGCGCACTGGGCTTTTATAGCGCGCGGAGGAGGGTCACGAGAGCCTGTTCTGAATGCAGCTCAAGGACCAATCAGGAGCGGAGGAGAGAAAAGGGGCGGGTCCGGGGTAATCACAGCATCCCTCTGTGCTCAGAGCCCTCCGCGTGCACGGCCGTGTCCAGGCGCGTGCGTCTCTCTGACTTTCAGTTAAAGTGATGTGAGTGTGGAGGAGCCTTTATTATATTTAAACTCTGTTTGTCTGTTTACGGAGGCCAAATGCATGACCCAAAAACATCACTTAAAATGTGTTTTGTTTAAGAGAATTTAAGTCATATTTTCAAATCTTAAACAGTCCTGCTGCCGACATTATTTGTGTTTGGTTTCTTTTTGTTTTTTTTTCCATTTAAAATGAATAAGTCTTGTCTCCCCGTCCTCTCGCGGCCCGGTCCGGGCCGTGCGCACGGATCAGTGCAATATGTTCACTGCTTGTGTTTGTGTTTTTTGGCGCCGCGTGCGCAGCTGCCGTTTACATCTTTAACGTTAATTAATGAAGTGTGCAAAATTGTTTTTAACGGTTATGATCCGGGCATTTCGGTGATGAGGCTGCGCGCGGCCTGCTGTGGCGGACATAAGGCCCGCGCGAGGCCGGACATGAATGGAGCTGACAGCTCCTTTGTGCGCAAATATGGCGCCCGCTGCCGCAGTCACACACAATCAGCGCTAATTACCTCCAAACTGACGCAGACAGCAGACAGGAGTTATCCGATAACCGGAGATAATTATCAAAACACATTTTGGCACATTTACGCACACACGCACCATTACGCACAGCGCGCGCACGGTGAGTGTCAGTTGCTGGAGCCTTCTGTCAAATATCGTTAATGAAGCAGTTAGACACGTGAGGTGCGCTTTTCCCAAAGGTGCAGCGCTGCTGTAGCGCATGGAAGTGTTTATTGTTTATTAAACTGCTCGTTAGAATGAGCTGGAACAATCTGATCATACAGACAACATTTTCAAATCTTGATCTGGGAAAAACACACAGGTCTATGATTTTTATTATTATATATTTACACATTTCTATTAATCTGATACAAACCAATCAAACATCTTCTGCGCTGCTGCTTAAAAACATTTTCTACATAAATGTTTTGTTTTGTTTTTCCCCCTCAGGCCCGGAGTGAACAAAGTCTCTCTCATTTTAAAATCTAATCCTCAAATATTATTTTTAAACCTTGTATTTTCAACTCTTTTAATGTGTCATGTTTTATTATTATTATTATTATTATTATTATTATTATTATTAATATTAATCGCGTGTGTTGTGTTCGTTGTTTGTTACATTTCTTTATGACTTCAGCAGAATAAAAATGAAACTCATATAAATGTTCAGTGAGCGCGTGCAGGTCCGGAGCTCTCGTGGGCCCTCTGCTGGCGCCATCAGGCCTTAAACACTCTGTATGTGCACAAAACAACACATACATTAGACCAAAATAATTTAATGCAGTTTTCATCAAACATTCTAAAGAAAAATTTAAAATCCCAAACTTTAGGAATGAAGGAACTAAATGTAGGTCTGTGGATAAAGCAGTGTTGTCTGCAGTTCTTTTACCAAATGTTCTATACTATTCTACTGCAGATCATCCAGGTCTGCAACAGAAATAAACATGAACAAAAATAAATCTAACTAATAATATTCACAAACAATGTAAATACCATACAGGCCAATGTAATCTTTTTTTTTTTTTTTTTTTTTTTTCTAATCCTGACATCACACTAAGAAATTCCATGACTGTTTCCTGGCAACCATGTCGTACACTGGGCCAAAGCTCCTCTAAAGTTCACGGAAATGATTCTCTGACAAATACAACTGTAAGAAAACACTTTTATTTTGTTGAAATTGAGTTTAAAGTTTTACAAAAATGTATTTATGTCACAAACTAAAATAAAAATAAAATAAAAAATAAAATAGAAACTGGATTTTTCTGGTGGAGGGTGTACTACCTGCTGGTCGCCATGGAGATGTTCATGCTTTCCCTGGAATGTTGTACATATTTTCTGTTCTCTCTTTCCCTCCCTCCACCCTTTTCTTTTCTCTCTCCCTCACCCCCATCCATTACCCCCTCTTCCTCTCTCTCCTCTCTCCGTCATCCTTCTCTTTTCTCTCACATTGTTCCTTACCCTCTCTCTCCTCCTCCTCTCTCTTCTTTCTTCTGTTATCCTTTTCTTTTCTTTCACCCCATCCGTTACGCCCTCTCCTTTTCCTCCTCCTCCTCTCTCTCCTTTTTCTCATCATCCTTCTCTTTTCTCACCTTGTCCCTTATCTCCTCTCCTTCTCCTCTTCCTTCTTTCTCTCCTTTCTCCCATCATCCTTCTCTCTTCTCACCTCTCTCCTTATTTTCACACTCTCTCCTACCCTCTCTTCTTCATCTTCCTCTCTCCTTCTCTCCTCCTCCTCTCTTCTCCCTATCCCTAAACCTCATTAAAATCCATTTCTCTCTCTCTCCCCTTCATCTCTCCTTTTTTCCATGTTCCTTCTCTCTCCCCCTCCTCTCTTTTTCTCTCCATCCCTCTCTTTTTCTCTCTCACTCTCATAAACCCTTCCCTCCCTCCCTAAATCTCCTCGTGTTCTATCCCTCCCTTCTCTCTCTTCTCCCGCACCTCCTCCTTCTCTCTCTCCTCTCCTCTTCCCTCCAGCTCTCCCCTCTCTCTCCCTCCTCTCTCTTTCACAAACCCTTCCCTCCCTCCCTAAACCTCCTCATGTTCTATCTCCTCCCTTCCCCCACCTCCCCCCTTCTCTCTCCTCTCCTCTTCCCTCCATCTCTCCTCTCTCCCTTCTCTCTCTCCTCTCTCTTTCTCTCTCTCACAAACTCTTCCTTCCCTCCCTAAACCGCGTCATCTTCTATCCCTCCCTTCTCTCTCTTCTCCCGCACCTCCCCTACTCTCTCTCCTCTCCTCTTCCCTTCATCTCTCCTCTCTCCCTCCCTGTCTTTTTCTCTCTCCTCTCTCTCCCTCCCTCTCCCCATCTCTTCTCTCTCACTCCCTCCCTCTCTCTCTCTCTCTCTCTCTCCTCTTCCCTCCATCTCTCCTCTCTCACTCGCTCCATCTCTTTCTCTCTCTCCCCTCTCTCCTCTTCCCTCCATCTCTCCTCTCTCACTTCATCTCTTTCTCTCTCTTCGCGCTCTTTCCCTCCATCTCTCCTCTCTCACTCCCTCTTTTCTCTCCCTCTCTTTCTCTCCCTGCATCTCTCTTTCTCACTCCTTCCCTCCCTTTCTCTCTCTCCTCTCCTCTTCCCTCCCTCCTCTCTCACTCCCTCGCTCTCTTTCTCTCTCTCTCCTCTCTCTGTCCTTTCCTCTTCCCTCCATCTCTCCTCCCTCCCTCTCTTTCACTCTCTCCTCTCTCTCCCCTCTTCCCTCCATCTCTCCTCTCTCACTCCCACTCTCCCTCTCTTTCTCTCCTCTCTCCTCCCTCCCTCTCTTTCACTCCCTCCTCTCTCTCTCCCTCTGTCTCTCCTCTCTCACTCCTTCCATCTCTTTCTCTCTCCTCGCTTTCTCGTTTCCTATTCTCTCCATCCTCTCTCACTCCCTCTCTCTTTCTCTCTCTCTCTCTCTCTGTCCTTTCCTCTTCCCTCCATCTCTCCTCTCTCTCTCCCTTCCCTCCCTCCCTAAACCTCCTCATCTTCTAACCCTCCATTCTCTCTCTCCTCCCTCACCTCCCCCCTTTTCTCTCCTCTCCTCTTCCCTCCATCTCTCCCTCCCTCGCTCCCTCCCTCCTCTGAATACCACCAGTACAGAGCATATGCGGGCCATACTTAATCCTGCTAATCTCGCCCCGAACGCCAAAGAAAGGGAACAAAACGTGAGAATGGAGAGAGGAGGAAGAGGAGGAGGAGGAGGAGAGAGTGACCAGCCAAGTCCAAACGCGCCCACACAAACACACAGATGCCCTCCCGCTCTCTCTCTCTCTCTTTTTAAACCCTTTTTCTCAGCTCAAACTTGGACCAAAATGAAGCAAATGTGTCCTTTTGTAGAGATTAGAGTGAGGTAACTGTACATTTGACAGACTCACGGCGAATACAACGCTCGTTCAGATGTATTTAAGCAGGATAAGGATTGTACCAAATAAAAGAACGATTGTGCAAATTGTGCTAAAAATCTCTCTTAATCTCTTTTTTTTTTTTTGCATTTTCGAGTTTTTGTGATCCAAGAAAGTCTGGAGATTTACAAATGAAACACACTCGAATCTGGTCTTTCTTTTGGAGTTTTTTCTCACCGGGATTTGGGAGAATGAACTTCAAATCGCAAATCGCCACTTGAAAATTGTGTTTAACTTTTTTTTATTTATTTACTGAAACTATATTGCATTAGAATTCATACCAATCCTGTAAAGTTTAATTTTAATTTAATTTTAATCCCAAATCTGATTTTTTGGCCCCTGTGTGACCTGTATCTGATCTTTTAATGACAGTCTGAACGAAACAGATCAGATTTTTTTCAAATGCGACCCAGGCCACTTCGATATGTGCTCCTGAAACCGATACATATCCGATCTTTTGACATGTGACTTCAGTCTGAACGGCCCAGGCGCATTCATCCACCTACACGTTATCAACAAGCGACGAATGTACACAAACGGCTCATTACATACATCACATCCAAATAGCAGCGATTGGTTAAATAAAAAAACACTACCTGCCTACTCCAATGAGGTTCATTTGGTCTTCCGATAACTTATGTCATTAGGTTCTTTTTTCAGACCATAGGTTTTTTGATACC